TAAAAAATAAAAAAAATATTTACATAATTATGTCATTTTGGCATTATCTTTTTTTGATTAAAACTATTAGATGCATAGTTGAATGATATTGTCTGGTTAAAAAAGTTGTTGAATTACTCAGTTTTTAAATCTTGCAAAAATTGTATTTAACTTAGAAATACAATCCTTGACAAATAGGGGTGGGGACAAAAATATTTGATCAAATACTAACACAAATATGTTAATTTCAGATTCACAAATACAAATATTTAAATATTTGTGTTTGATTTTGTAAAGCAAACACAAATATTTGTACTTTAAGTTAAGAAAAAAATACATTTAAAACTTATTTTTTTTGTAACGAATTATTAACTTTAATTAACTTTATTTATTATTTTTAAATCTATAATTAGCTAGTTTTTTTATTCTAATTAATAATACATCACAAATAAAACAATATAGTTTATTATTAAATACAAATACTTATTTGACCCAAACCTTGCTGACGAACAAGGGGCTGCTAAGCATTGAAACAAGTTAAGGGGTACTTCCAGAAACATGGTGGGTTTTTATCTACTTCTTGATAAAAAAGTAAGTGCTTTAACACTACACCACCACCCCACACTGTATAAATATATTATATTAGTAAAAAATATCAAAATTCTGTTATTGACAAAGTTGTGGAAAAAATCAAATTTCTGGCAGAACTGAGATTGAAAGTTCAGGCATATTTTGGGTTAAAAAAGTTATCAAAAATTGATATTTTAAAATCTATCTATATATTTTTCACAAAAATAGAAACCGTTTACAATATAGTATAAATATTGCAATAAAAGTTTTGTTGAGGGACAAGATTATTAGTACAAATAGTAATTAAAGATTTAAAGAGTAATTCAAAGCAGAGACCTTATAAAACAAAACAAAACAAAAAGTTAAAAAAAAAAAAACTATCAATAAAAAGAACTCCCCAAAAATAAAAATAAAATAAAAAACTACTACTACTACTACTACTACTACTACTACTACTACTACTACTACTACTACTACTACTACTACTACTACTACTACTACTACTACTACTACTACTACTACTACTACTACTACTACTACTACTACTACTACTACTACTACTACTACTACTACTACTACTACTACTACTACTACTACTACTACTACTACTACTACTACTACTACTACTACTACTACTACTACTACTACTACTACTACTACTACTACTACTACTACTACTACTACTACTACTACTACTACTACTACTACTACTACTACTACTACTACTACTACTACTACTACTACTACTACTACTACTACTACTACTACTACTACTACTACTACTACTACTACTACTACTACTACTACTACTACTACTACTACTACTACTACTACTACTACTACTACTACTACTACTACTACTACTACTACTACTACTACTACTACTACTACTACTACTACTACTACTACTACTACTACTACTACTACTACTACTACTACTACTACTACTACTACTACTACTACTACTACTACTACTACTACTACTACTACTACTACTACTACTACTACTACTACTACTACTACTACTACTACTACTACTACTACTACTACTACTACTACTACTACTACTACTACTACTACTACTACTACTACTACTACTACTACTACTACTACTACTACTACTACTACTACTACTACTACTACTACTACTACTACTACTACTACTACTACTACTACTACTACTACTACTACTACTACTACTACTACTACTACTACTACTACTACTACTACTACTACTACTACTACTACTACTACTACTACTACTACTACTACTACTACTACTACTACTACTACTACTACTACTACTACTACTACTACTACTACTACTACTACTACTACTACTACTACTACTACTACTACTACTACTACTACTACTACTACTACTACTACTACTACTACTACTACTACTACTACTACTACTACTACTACTACTACTACTACTACTACTACTACTACTACTACTACTACTACTACTACTACTACTACTACTACTACTACTACTACTACTACTACTACTACTACTACTACTACTACTACTACTACTACTACTACTACTACTACTACTACTACTACTACTACTACTACTACTACTACTACTACTACTACTACTACTAATAATAATAATAATAACAATAATAATAATAATAATAATAATACAACAGACAAACACAACAACCAAGGAACAAAAATTATAAATATTTATATATATTTAAACTAATGAAACTAATAAAAATAAGTATGTAATAATACTGACAATAGATAATAATAAACATAATAGGTACTGATTAAAATAATGAAATAATAAATAATAAAGATTACTAGTATGAATTATTGTAGAATCAAATGAAGTATTATCAAGTAAAGAGAAAAATTATTGGATTAAAGTTAAAGATAATAGAATAAAGAAAAAAAAAAACTCTAAATATTTAATACAAATACCAATAAATATAATAATAAATACTAAATAAAGAGATATTAATTAAACCTAGTATAAACATTGAGTATGGCAACTATGGTAATAATACTCTTTTATTTTATGCATAGTTGTCAAGATAGCTTTGTTTAACTTTACTTAAAAAGGCAGATCTTGAATTTGGGTTTTCAGTTTTTATGGAGTGGGAGAGATTGTTCCACTTATTGGTGCATTGAAGCTTTATAGAGTTTTTACCATATATTATTGTTTGACTGTGTTCAACAAATATATTGTGCATGATGAGGATCTAAGGAGATAGAAGTGTTTGGAACTGGTTTGGGAGAAGAAAGAAGTGAAAGTAATTGGGAATAATGCTGGATGATAATTGCCTAATAATTTTTTGGCATTTGGTTTTAAAGACTACTATTTGGGTTTTTTTAACATTAAGTGAGATTTTATTAGCTCCCAACCAGTCAAGAACTGATGATATGGCCTTATTGGTTTTATTTTAAACTTTGTCAGCAGAGTCTTCAATTATAAGCAAATTAGTGTCATCAGCAAAATGGTAAGTATATACATTATTGAGGCATGTTTAATTCATTGATGTATACCAAGAATAGAAGAGGCCCAAGAATATATCTTTGAGGGATTCCTGAATTGATGTGTTGGGTTGATGAGGTAATTTCATTTATAGTTACAAATTGAAGTCTATGGTTTAAATAAGATGTTAGAAGTCTATGGTTTTAAAAAGAAGTTTATGGTTTAAATATGCTAATTTGGTGAAAAGGATACGATGGATATTTACTGTATCAAATACTTTCTGCAAGTCAATAAACACACCACAAGCAAATTTATTTTCATCTAGTTTTTTTCGGATAATCAAATGTAAAGTCAAAGAATTGAAATAATCTTTTGAAAAAGTCTGAGAATACTCCTTTTATAAATGAGTTAATTTTTATTTTAGAAATAGGTTCAGCTATGATTTTATTGGATAACTTTAAAATTGAAGTTGGGATACTATTTGGGCCTATAATTTTCTTTGTATTCATTGTAGAGATATAAGTTTCAATCTCCACTGTTGTTACTGGTAAAATAAAAAAAGAGTTATGATTTGGATTGTTTAGATAATCAAAAGTTTAATTTTGGAAGGTTTTATATTTAACAATATTATTGGCTATGTTTGTAAAGTAGTTATTGTTTATCATCACTAACTAAATTATTAGCAATATTAGGTTTTATTGAATGGCTTTTAGGCACACAGTTGTTAATGTTTATTAGTTCCTTAATTCTTTTCCATGTGTTTTTTAAATTGTATAAGTTTGATCTAAAAAAGGTTATATAATAGTTTTTTTTACTGACTTTTAATAAATTGCTGATTTTGTTTCTGTATATTTTGAATAAATGAAATGTTTTATTTTTTACTGGAGTTAATGGAAGATTTAAAAATTTTCTTTATAGTTTATCCTTTATTTTTATAGATATTTCTGTATTCCAGTATTCCTTGGGTTATCCAAGGCTTATTTTTGCACTGATAGTTAGAAGTTAAAGTGGAGCATGTTTATCTAGAATTTTCTGAACATAATATAAAAGTATAGCAGTTGATTGGTTGGGATCATCATTATCTTTGATTATATGGGACCAGTTTATGTTTTTAAGATCATTAAGAAATTTTTACTGTCAAAACTTTTGTAGCATCTTCTATATGTTTTTCTGTTTTTTTTTGTGAGTTTGTATTAGCGACAAATTGAGCCAAATAGTCTGATATAGAAATAATTAAGCTACCTGATATAATTTTGTTGGAGTAAAAGTTAATAAATATGTCATCAATAAGAGTTTTTGAATGTGAATTTACTCTTGTTAATGGATAAACATAGATGACAATAAAATGAACCAATAATTGTATTTCTGCCTTTTTGGTCAATTATTTCAGTAAAGACTGATTCGAGTTCCCGTGGTTTGTACATGTTAAGATCTTATCTGTTTTTGTGTACTGTTGAAGATTTTATGTGTAAAAGAGCTCCACAACAAAAGGATTCAGTTGTTGTATGTTCAATTAAATAGTCTTCGATGTCTATATTGTTTATATTTTTCTTTTAATCTTGTTTCCGTTATTGCAATAACAGAAGGAGGAAAATTTAATGAACTAATTAAAGATTTTAACTCATCTATATGAGCAGGAAAGGAAGAAAAAAAAAGGAAGAAAAAAAAAAGGGTGAACAAAAATAAGAGGATTCAAGTTTTGATTTAGAGCATTAAAACATAAATATTACCTAAAACTTTCATTCCTTGTTTTACTTTTGTTGTAAAATTATAAAAAAAATGAAGACAGTTGCTATGCCAACTAAACCGACAATAACAACAAAACAATTGTTTGCCATTTGACAACCCAAAAGTTTCAAGAAATATAGTATAAATAAATAATTAAAAATATTCTTTGTACTTGCTTAAAAATTTATAAAAAAATACAATAATAAAATTTATAAGTGAGATATATGTGCTTTTTAACTAAATAAAGACATATATTATGTTTTAAACTTACTTTATTGTCAGCAACAATGCAATTTTTAACAACAATAGGCTGGTTAGGCCATGCATAAACACCATAATCTAAGTTTTTCCAGATTAAAAAGTCTTCTATTTTCCAACAATATGTTGTGGAATCAAGAAAATGTACACCATGAAGTGTAGAGTGGATCTAAAAGTTTAAAAATGTTTAACCTGCATTTAGTAGGTTTTAAAAATTATGGAAAGTTTTGTATATATATATATATGTTTTATATATATATATATATATAAAACATATATATATATATACATGTTTTATATATATATATATATATATATATATATATATATATACATAAATATACTTTATAAATATGTATATGTACATTATATGTATATATATTATATATAATATATATTTTATACATATATATTTTAAACCATATATATTAAATATATATATATATATATTTTTAAAACATAAATATTAAATAATTAAAAAATTTTTTGTCTATACATATACATATACATATATATATATAAATATATATATGTATATACATATATATATATAAATATATATATATATATATATTTATATATATATATGTATATACATTCTATACATATATATATATATATATATATATATATATATATATATATATATATATATATATATATATATATATATATATATATATATATATATATATATATTTACATATTAATTTTTATATATAAATGCTGATATGACCTGTCAACCCTTTTTCATGCCAGTGCATAAAAAAAAGTGAGTCTGCGCGATTTAAAAAATTCTTTTTCTGCTATTTAAATTAAAATAAAAATAGCTAATAACAATTAATAATAATAACTCGGTAAAAATTTAGTTTTTTATCTCAAATTTATCTGAAAAAAAAAATCCAGATTGCTGAAATACCTCATTATTATATATACGAGCTATTGCATTATTATCATTGCAATCCACACCACGTGTTATTAGACCAATCTTTTCACTTCCGGCTATACTATTTCCATACATGGTATAGTTTACTGCATTATGCACTTGGATGGCCCCAGGCCATTTCATATCAAACTGGTATGCAGTAGTCTAAAATAGTTAACAGTTTTTTAATTTGTTTTGTTTGTTTAAGCTTTAAACTTCACAAATTAAAAAATAATAAGAAGTTAAATCTTAAAAATACCAAACATAAGATGTAAACAAGAATATCTAAACTTTACTTTTTATATATATATGTGTAGTTTTAAAATTATAAACTAATAATTTTATGATTTTATAAAGGTCATGAAACTAACCATAAATGTTCCTTCAGCAAGTGATAATGTAATAAGATTATTTATAATACCATTATTTCTTCCTTCCAGATCAATCCCAGGTCCTACAGTATGATGAATGACATTGTCTGATATAATTAAATTGTTTGTACCATATACACCAATCCCCATATTATAACCATCATGAAATGATGATCCTTTAACAAACGATGGATTTTCAGCAGTTACATCATCAATATTTAAAAATGCCAAAGCATATCTTAAAAAAACGTTTTTACTTTTTTAATTTTTTTGATTTTTTTTTTCTTAATCATGAGACTAAAAATATTTTTCTAATGTGAAAAAAAAAAAAAATTGTTACTAATTAAAATAATGCAAAGAAAACCACATTTTAATTATTTAAGTTTTTGTATTTATATATCTTAAAATAAGATTAATTTTAAAAGCAAATTAACATATACATAGTTTTCTAACACAATAAACTTACCTTGGATCATAGGAGTCTGCATAACCAAGTTGGCCACAACTTCTAAATTCAACTTCAGATATCATTGCATTACCAACAGATTTTACTCCATCTTGGGTATACTTCCCAACCAAAACTCGACATCCAAAACCATCATTTGTTACTGATCCTTTTGGTTCGTTTGCACCTTCAATTATGATATTTCGAGATAATAATCCAACTTTAGCACTCATGCTAAAATTTCTACCATTAATAGAATGCAAAGAAGCAGTATGAGAATACTGAGATGGTGTATCAACTTTGAATCTTCTTCCATCATCAAAAACTGCAACAATAGTAAACTTTTCTGCTTGTCGAGGTTCAAATGTAGATGTTGTCACTACAATTACATCTCCAACAACCCAATCTGTTTTATCAATAACACTCAAAAACTGAGCATTTTTTTGCATTGTTTCATTTAAACGAGTCCAGTGCACTTTATGAGGGTTTCCAAACATTGATAAATTACCAAAAACTCCTAAAGCTTTAGAACCAAGGTTAGGTCCATTTGATAATGGAAGATCTTGTGTGGATTGATCACCCCATAAACTTATTAAAACAAACAAAGTAGATGGGAATGGTTGATCTGGACGACCAATTATTAATTGTCCCTCATCAGAAATAATTATTATATTTGCACGAATTGTATGATTTCTATTCATAGCAAGCTCAAGTGTTCCGTATATATATAAACGAACCATTATTGGTATGTATGCATTCTTATCCACAATCACATATTGACCTGCGCGTATCATAACTGTATCATTATCTTTTGGCAAAGTGTTGTTGTAACCTCCATACTCTTTTGTAATATTTTTCCAAGTTTGAATATCACTCCAATTTGTTGGTGCTCCAAAAACACCTTTTACTACAGGTGGAAGTGTTGGGACAATGCATTTATCAAAGTAACATCTGTAAACTTGTAAACCAATATGCTGGCTTGGAGGGTTTTTAGGGTCAACAGTAGCATCGTTCTCAATTAGATATGTAACACTTTTAGAGCTGTTATCGTAAAACCAATTTCCATGTTTATAATAAGCAGCAGCAGGAAACTTATTTGTGTTGTTAGTTGGTACATTTGTTGTTAAAAAGTAATCTGGTTCTTGCATAAAGTTGTGAGAGAGATAAAGAAAGTTATTTGGTTGAAGTTCATAGATATCCATGCTGTAAGTTATATTAACAAATTGAGTTGAATTAACAAATGAAAACAAATACTTTTCACCAACTTCCAACAAAACTGTGTAACCTAAAGGATGAGTTATAGATTTTTTACGCCATGGAACAACACCAATATTATCAGAAACAACAGAACGCTTTTTTCTTGTTTGATAATTTATTTGTCTAGTAAAAAGGGCACTCTTTTCATTTATAGAACTTGGAAACACTTGATTAAAAGCTACACGAACAAACTTTCCACTAGAACAAATTGCTCCAGGAACACCACCAAAAGACATAGAATCATCCAGAATACATCGACTTGAATCTAAAATATTTGTGTAAGGAATAACTCCTCCACCTGCATACCCTGACAAAGTTCCATCCATATCACTCAGCCAAGTTGCTGATACAAAAGGGAAAGACACTTTATTTTTCACATTATTAAATGAAAGAGCATTAACATGAACAATAGCTCCTCCATCCATTGGCTTGCAATGAGCACATGTTCCTAGTGCAACACAATTTCTATCAAAATTAACAAACTTAACATTATTTACAGTAAGTCGATGAGAAAACGGAAGTTTTATGCCACTTAATGTACACAGAGGTTGAGTGGATGGATCTTGAATTTCTCGTGTTGCTGATAATTCTGAATGACCTATTATTAATGAGTTGTTTATCATGGGAAAACCCCAAGGAGGACTTCTGGAAGATGCATCAGCCCATTCAATACCTGCTTCATCATTATCAAGAATAACAAAATTCTGAAATCTAAATATAAAATAAAAATATTTTGAAGTTTGAATTTAAAATAAAAAGAGTTATTTAAAGAATTATTTTTTCTATTCCTTAATTCAATCTCTAAAGCCCAGAAGACCACATCCAAGGAGGCTACTTTCATTCTGGTTTCAACCCTTTTTTATCTCTATATCTCTGAAACACAAACATTGATAAACAAGGCCGCTGTGCAGAAAAAAAGTTAAGTGTTAATTTATGTTAGAGCTGCAATATAAATAGTAATTTCAATTCTTTTAATACAACTACAGTTTTCTTTCAGTAACTATAAAAAATCTTGTAACCACAATATTTTCAAGTTACAAAGCCTGGGTTTAGTGTTTTTAATGGCGTGTTTTGACTGAATACATCGCTTAATTCATTTATAAATTTACTCATTTGTGAGCCAAGTAAAAGGTTCAGTACTTGGCTTCCTTAATTTTGTACTCTGAAAACAATTTACAATGTAAAATAAATTTAGTATTTTTTTCTATTTTGTTTTTAAAAGCTAGCTATGTAGTTTTTTTTTTTAAAGTATCAAAAACCATATTGATTGTTTGACAGTAAGCTATTTGACTCAAGATGGGATGTGAGAAATTTGTTTCTCAAAAACTCAAAGATCTTGCTAATAACAGAAAGAAGACTGATCATACGATAATTGGAGGGGTCAAAATGTTCACTCGAGTTTTTGAAAATTGAAACAACTGGTATCATTTTCCAGCAGGCAGGAAAACAAGACTCAAGCACTTATTAAATTGTTTAGAGAAAATTGAAGAGGAGTCTTTTAACAAATTTACTCTTTAACAGATTAGCAGCCGTGGCGCAGTGGTTAGAGCAGCCGTGGCGCAGTGGTTAGAGTTCTGGCTCAGAACCCAGAAGTGGGAGGTTCGACGCCAGCTCTAGCCCAACAAGCGACATTGGTAAGTAAGGGGGCGTGAACTTCCTGTTAAATGCTCTCCCGCAATGCACTGTAATAAGACCATAAGGACTTCTGGGAGCACCTAAAATAACTACAAAAATAGATTAACTTTTTTCTTGTAACAGATTTACTTTCTTTAAAAAAAAACAGTTAAGATTACAATGCTTTGTCTGATTTTGAATCAACTATTTGAATCAACAATGATTTTGAATCAACAGTGATTTTGCTTAATGTGTTAGGAATTTTACGTATTACAAAAACATTTTATTATTTTTTTATAGATTTATTAGTTTATTATAACAAAAGAAAAAACAAAACAAAAAACAGGCACAATCTAAATGTTATATAAGAAATTTAAAAGTTGTTTGGCAAAATGTTTAACTTATTCCTTTGTGAAACTGAATAAAAAAATTATTTTGCAATATTTCCAAAAAAGCATTATAGGATTATAGAAAAAAAAAAATTTACTTTTTAATTCAAACTACAATCCAAAACAAGCTATTATTTTGTTTATATAACTTGTGCAAAACAAATAAAATCAAAAATTGATTATAAGAACCACATTACTTGAAAAAGGTTTTTAACTGCCTTAAATCTAAAGCTTATGCTTTGAAGGGTAAATGAATATCACCTTTTAAAAGATAAACTTGTTAGGAATAGATTTAAACTACCTAGGTCCTTAATTTCAAAGATGCTCCAAATCTCAAAAATTTTCCTATTAGAAACATTTGTAACAAAAACTATTCATTCAGCCTTAAATATTTTGTTTCATTTTACTATAATTTAAATAGTGCATTCATTTCAAATTGCTTAGACATAAAAAATGGCATCAATTAGATTCTGAAATAATTCTTTTGATTTAAAAATTCAAAAAAAAAAATATTAAAATTCAACAATTAAAAAAATAAAATTTTTAAATATAAATAATCTTAAATAAACAAGGTTGAAAAAAAAATTACCGAATCGCTCCACATTCTACACATTCAGCTCCTTTTTGATTATTCCATGTGAGAAAGTCATAAAAATTTGCAGGTTCATGACTGTCATCATAGCAATCACCAGTTTTGCTTGGATGATAGATAGGAAATATCCATAAGCCAAAACGACCCATAGTGTGAGCACTGTTATTTTTAAACTCACGAAGAGGAACTTTTCTATCCAAAATAAAAACAAAAAAAACCCTCAAAAATATGAATATTTTTACTAATATTTTCTGTCAAGCTTAAATAAAAAAAGATAAGAAAAAAGAAAGATCATTACAATAAATTATATAACAATAATCTGACCCTATTTCCAGATGGTAAAGTTATTCAGGAACATTTCTTAAATATATCTTACTCCTTTACATATTAGCTTTAAATAACTGATCAAATTAATATGTAAAAATATTCATAGAAAAAATATATCAAAACTGATCTAACAAATGCGCTTAAATAAATCAGTATGTATTATACTTGTATAAATGGATGTATGGAAACAAAAATGGAATTTTACATTGTTTAATCACCAACAAAAATAACAAATCTAACTGGAGTTTTAGAACATCTTTTCCAACTAAACTATTCTAACTTTCCTTTTTCACCTTAAAAAGTATTATCATCAACTCTCAAAAAATACCAAAAGCTAATGTAATCTCAAATAGGTGAAGCTAGGCATTAAAATAACTCACATTTATTTTTTATAAATTTTATTTAAATTAGTTATTTTTTTTTAAGTTTACTTCTATTTCTATATATTCATCTATTCCATTTAACTAACATGGTAGTGTCAATATGTAGGTAAATTTTTTTACTTTAAAAAAAAAAAAAATTTTTGTGGTGAGTTGTGTAAATATTTTGAAAGTTTTTAATATAAAATATTTCATAAACTTAAAATCAAAGTGCATTTCAAATTTCTTTTTAGACTCACATGCACGACTACACAACATTCTACTATAGTGTATACATTTGTTGACTTTTTTGAATAGTTTTTTTGGATAATGGCATAGAGCATTTTCAGAAAAAAAAGAACAAATAAAAAAAAAAAAAAACTAAAAAGATTACTGCCCCAGTTCAAAACTTAGTCATGTAGCAGCATTATTTACATGTAGATTGTAATATTACCTTATACATTGACTAAATTTTTTTTTTTCATTTGCATTCACTCCCAACAAGCCTGCAAGCAACCACTATTAAGTTGGGAGTTACTAGGAAAAAAAAGAACAGAGTTATAGAGCAAGGAAACGGTTGACAGAAGTCTTGAAAAGTTGAAGGTTGTATGAGTCAGGAAAACATGAAGATGGGAGAGAGTTCCAAAGGATTGAAGTGCGGGGAAAAAAACTAGATGAATAAAAGTTTTTAGAGCATGCAGGGACAGATACAGTAAACGAATGAGACTTAGCTGAATGACAAGTAAAACGAGAATGAATTTTAGTTGATGGAACTAGAGATGATAACTCCTTTGAGCAGTGACCATGATAGTATTTGTAGAAAAGAGAAAGAGATGCAACTTTACGACGATGGGAAAGAGGCTCAAGCTTAGCAGATAGTCCAGGTCTAACAACATTTACAATGCGTTTTTGGACCTTGTCAAGAAAAGAAAGTGAATCATTAGAAGAACCAGCCCAAATATGACAGCAGTATTCCATACAGGGACGAAAAAGAGATTTGTAGAGGTAGAGAATGGAATCAGAAGTAAGGAAATGACGAGCACGATAAAGAGAAGCAACCTTAGCTGAAGCTAATTTAGCAATCAATTGTATATATGGTTCCATGAAAGGTCAGTAGTAAGCAATAATCCAAGAAGACGTAAAGAGGAGGACTCAGTAAGAGGATTCATTAATATAGGAATGTTGACCATATTACAGTAGTTGTTTGCAGTAAACAACTGGATTTTGTTAGAGTTGAAATTCAAAAGCCACTGTGAACCCCAATCTATTAATTGAAAAAAAAAGACTTTTTGTCGAGACAGGAGTATAAAGTTGAGTCATCAGCAAAAAGAGCTACTTTAGATAAAAGGTTGTCAGGAAAATTGTTTATGTAGATAAGAAACAAAACAGGGCCCAAAATGGAACCTTGGGGAACCCCAGAAGTTACTGGAAATAAAGAAAAGTGTTGACCTTCAAGGATGACTTTAATAAACCGGTTAGGAAGAAATGGTTTGATAATCTCAAAAACTTTCCCAGAAACACCATATGAAGCAAGCTTATGGAGAAGACCAGCATGCCAAACTTTGTTGAAAGCTTTAGATATGCCAAGAGCAATAGCCCTAGCCTGACCGCCTCCATCTAATGCACAATAAAATCTTTCAGTTACAGCAGTTAGCAAGTCGGCCATAGAGCGAGAGGATCAAAAACTGTATTGAGTAGTTTATTTGACGCAAAATGAGATGTGAGGAATTTGTTGACTCAAAGACCTTGCTAATAACAGAAAGAAGACTGATTGGAAGATAATTAGAGGGGTCAGAATTTTCTCCAGAGTTTTTGAATATTGGAACCACAGATGCCATTTTCCAACAAGCAGGAAAACAAGACTCAGTCAAACACTTGTTAAATAGTTTAGAGAGAATTGAAGAAAGTTCTGGAGAACAATTCTGCAAGACTGTGACAGGAATATTGTCTGGACCACAAGCTGTAGACGAGTTTAATTGAGATATGAATTTAGCAACAAAAGCCGGAGTGATTTGAATGTCTAACAATGGATAAACCTGTTTGACTGGAATGTTTGACTGTTTGAAGAGAATGTCCATAAGATTTAAGAGTAGAATTAGAAGAAAAGTTCTTTGCAAACAGTTCTGCCTTATCCTTGGGAGAGGTAATAAGATCAGTCCCATGAATGAGAGATGGAATGTTAGATCTACCCTTGTTAATAATGCTGTTGAAGATTTTCCAAAAGTCTTTAGAGCTTAACTTCTGCTATAAGATGCGAGATTTAGTGAACTGAGAATAATGGAGTTTAGCATCAGAAAGCACCTTTTTACATCGATTTCTTGCAATAATAAATAGCCGTTTGTTCTCAAGAGAGTTGTTCTTTTGAAAAAGATGAAAAAAATGATTACAATTGGATATAGCAGCCGCACAAGAAGAAGAAAACCATGAAGTAGAATGAGGCTTGACTTGAAATCAACAAGAAGGAATAAAAGCTTCCATTCCCACCTGAATCCAGGAGGTTACGTAGGAGGCGCATTTATCAGCTGAGAGAGAAAAAACATCAGCCCAAGGACCATCACAAAGAAAATCACTAAAAGAATCCCAGTCAGCTTTAGGGTAGTAGTTGGTGGTGCAATGATAAGGTGAGCCCAAAAAAGAAGTACAAGAAGAAAGATTTATAGAAATCATTGCATGGTCAGAACCACCTAAGGGAGAAAAGGGAGAAACTGAACATAAGCTAGGGTCAGAGACAAGACATAAGTCAAGGAGTGAAGGTAAATGATTAGGGTTGTCAGGAAAACGAGTCACAAAGTTAACTATCTGAGTAAGAGATTGAGAAATGCAGAAGTTAAAGGCTTTAGTGCCAGCAGGATCAGTGGTGTTAGAGCCAAGCCATTCAGTGTGATGGGCATTAAAATCACCAACAACAACAATATTGGCAGAAGGGTAATTAGAAAGAGGGCATGGTCAATTTGATCAGAGATAACATCTAAAAGAGTGCATTCATGGGAAGAAGGAGACCAATAAAAAACAAAGAGAAAGGTGATAGAGTGAAGAGGTGCTAGGCGAAAGCACATAAAAGAATGGTCAAAGGATTCGAACCTGATTTCACGACAAATAGGGGAATTAATGCATCTGTATACCCCCAAACCTAGCATGTGACTATTGGAGTCTTTACGAATCAAAGGATAGTACCCATCAACACTGACATCTGAAGAAGGAATTGCAGAATTTAAATTTGTTTCACTGAGTGCAAGCAAGTCTGGTGAATTTTGCAGGAGGTAAGACTCAACTGACGGAAAGTTGCTTCGCAGACCGTGACTATTTGTAAAAGATACATTAAAACATTTAGGTGGTGGGGATGGTTTTTGAGGTTTAAAATTTTTGGTTACTTTGGTCATAATTTGGGTTTAATGAGAACCTAACTCATTCATAGATAGAGCACAGCCTCCTAATCAATGAGCTATGCAGTTGTCTCAGTCCTGTTAATAAACCCTAAGCCATGACATAGGGCTCCTTATGTGGCCTTGACAATGCACACCAAAAGCATTAACAGGGACACCTGTTAATGCTTTTGGTATTAATACTCTGATATTTTGCAGCTGTTGATGGAATCAGCCTCTCTGAGAGCTACCACAGAGTTCAGGAAACCTTACTACCAACCAGCCTCAGAACCATTAAACTGAGTTTTAGAGCTATACCCTCATATGGAGATAACAGGAAGAGTTGCATAGCCATTATCAAGGAGGCACAAGCAAAATTCTATGAGTAGAGTCAAGGAGATCCAGCATTCATCATCCTAGGCAGAAAACAATGTAACACAGGTTACATCTATGCCAGCCTAATAAATGAAGAAGAGGTTCGAGGCTGGTTAGCAGAATTTTTCTGCTTACCCCTAAAGTCTTTGCCTAGGAGGCCTTCTACAAGACAGTAGCTGGATGCAGTTTACATCTGCCCAAGATGATTATTTTTATTGAGACACCATCTCTAGCCTTGACTCAAACAAGAGCCTCAAGACAGGGGATGTTTAGCTGGATGCAGTTAACATCTGCCCAAGATGAGTGTTATTATTGAGACACTATCTCTAGCCTTTACTCAACCAAAAGCCCTAAGGCAGGGGAATTTTTAGTCTGAGTTTATTTCTCCTAGCCTTTGCCTAAGAAGAGCACACTCTGCAAGGCAGCAGGGCTTGTGGCAGGTGGTACTGGGTTAGGTGATACCAGTAGCAAGATTGATCTTGATTATCATGACCTGACCGAAATACTACCTATTTAGTCAGTCAATGTTTGTTAGTCAAAAATTGAAGCCCTGGGCAGTAGGTTAATTCAGTTTTATCTCAAACAGGTAATTTAAACATACAATAAAAATTATATATATATATATATATATATATATATATATATATAATTTGAATTTTTTTTTAAGTTAAATATATATATATATATATATATATATATATATATATATATATATATATATATATATATATATATATATATATATATATATATATATATATATTTATATATATATATATATATATATATATATATATATATATATATATATATATATGTAAATTTAAAAATTTCTTTTTTAATTTAAATTTGAAAAATAAATGATTGGTGTTCTACGACTCCACTGCACAACCACCCCAAAAAATTTTATTTCAAATTGTAGATTATTTTTAAGAAAATGTGTGAAATGAACTAAAAAATGTCTTTCAAAATTATTCATTTGTATTTTCATTCCAAAGTTATTTTCAATCAAAGTTTCATTAAAAAGATATAGGATATTAATGCATTCATCAAAAAGATATAGGATATTAATAATGAAAAGTCAAATCAAATACATAGCTATGATGATTGCTCTAGACTACCAACCAATTAGTATTAGTCATACTCAATGGTTGGTTGTCATATACTGCTGAAAGAATTGATTAGCACCACCAGCATCTTCTGCATTTTTGGAGAGGTTGTTTTCTGAATTGGAAATGTTTATGAAAAAAAGCAATCTAAGCTGTTAAGGCAGAGAAATGTTATTGTTTATACATATTAATAAATTCATAAATGAGTGATAAAACATTTATTTCTTGTGTATATTCTATGATATATATATATATATATATATATATATATATATATATATATATATATATATATATATATATATATATATATATATATATATATATATATATATATATATATATATATATATATATATATATATATATATATATATATATATATATATATACATATGTATACATATATATATATATTTAATTATTATTCTACAACAGGATCATGCTGATGTTTTAAAAAGAAAGAAGCTCATAGCCCATAATGATGGGAAACTTGTTAGAAAGCTGGACGAAAAAAATAATCTGATAATTATATGTAACAGAGTTGCAGTTAGTGTAACCAGTCCAGACTTGGAATGTAGAGATGATTTCTTGCTTGTCATAGTTCAGGCAGAAAATTCAATAGGGTCAGAAAATGCTCATTTAATTCTTAATCTCTTGGATTAATTCTTAATCTCTTGGATTAATTCTTAATCTCTTGGATTAATTCTTAATCTCTTGGATTGGACTATTATATTGTTAATAGTATTGCTAGTGTTGGCCTCTAACACTAGAAATCTTACTTCAACTTTTTCAACTATTCTTAACACTAGTCTTGTCTGACGCATGTGTTGGGCCACATTATTAAAGTACCTATTAAACATTTGATAACTGCCATGGTTTGCGCCAAGACCAAGTCTTTGAAAACTTATGTGCACTTATAGAAGACATGGTTAAAGATTGTTGACAAAATTGACTTATCAGACAATCTAGTAATATTTAACTCGATTCCTTTAGAGTTTGAATCACCTATCTATAATATAGCATTAAAGTTTAGAGAAACTGAGCTAAATGAAAATGTTTTCAAAAATCGAGACTACAAAATTCTTTGCCAGTTATATGTTTACTATCTTGGACATGGACATGTTCCTAATATAAAATTTCATCAGCCAGAAACTTACCATCAAGCATGGTTTATGGCAGATGCAATTTATATGCTTACATTAGAAATGACAAAGAACATATCAGACATAATCAATGAAACAGAAAGAAAAATGGTTTAGACAGCTTTTTTATTTATATTATTAAAATGAGTAGCCTCCTCGACTGTAGTGGCCCCCTCGGGCCTTGGGGAGGTGAATAATTAAAAAATATATATATATATCTCTGACATACTGTCCTTGGTTCTTCAAAAGCTCTTTGAGTATTAAAGTACCAATTAATGATATAGCAAAAGAATATCCTGATTTTTCTCAATCACTACTGAACAGCATGCAAAAACATATCAGGTAATCAAGTCAACAGCTTGTTGAATTGGCTTCAGCTGTTGATGATTTTGAGAAAGACAAGATGAAGAATATACTCAACATATATAATATAATAGTGCGTGTGTATCAAATGTACTTTGTGTTATCTCATTTATATTTATTGTTTCTATTTATAAGTGAAATTTTGTTTTAGTTTGTTTTAAAATAAAACTATAAAATAAAAATTAAAAAAAAACCTTGGGCAAACTGTATCTGTATAAGAAGGACCATCTGGATGTTCAAACATTTGATACCAAAATCCTAAATGACTTCCACCTGCTGCTGCATTGTGAGAAACTGTATTGTTAGCATTGGTTACCCAGTATGCAGCTGGGGTGATATCCACATTTAGTGTGGAACTAGATGGTTTTACAAATATTGCAAGGTTGTACTGGATCACATTCCCTACTTCGATTCCGTCTTCCATAAAGTATGCATTACCTAGAATTACATTTAAGAATCTTAATAAACTTTATTTTCATAGATGGGTCAAGGGAGTGGGTCACATCAGTTTTGCTGTGTCTAACAACATCTGTCCAAAAACATCTGTAAATACAATGAGGTATAACTACAACCGCTCAAAACTATTTACAGATAAATAGACTGAGGTATAATAACATCTGAACCAAGAACATCTGAAATTTTATTGATGTCTAAAAACATCTGTGTAAAAACTATATGAATATTACAGATGTAGTTACATCTTTTCAATTATTCAAGTATTACGGCGATCTTTGCAACTACATCTGGCTATTTTACAGATGCAGCTACATCTTTTTAATAATGTTAATAATAAAAAAATCTTTACAACTACATCTGTGATGATGTAATTATATCTTTACAACTATATTAAGAATTTTTCAGATGTAATTACATCAGGAAAAAATTATTAAATAATAATGCATTATTTTTATCAGATGTAGTTACATATATGATTAATTTCAGATGCAGTTAAATCTGGAGAAAATTCTTCCAGATGATATTGGACTCGAAGAAAAATGACTACTTTCAGCAGTTAAATGGCTAATTTCTGCATATTCAAAAAAGTAAACAAAATGAGGTCTTAAATTTAGTTTTAACAAACTCCCCAATATCAATACTAGTTTCGCTATATAAACGGGTACTAATTAATGTTTCTGTAATCCAAAACCTATACAGACCTTTCAATCAGGGTTTTTGGGTAAAGTCTTACCTAACAAAAAAAAATTTGTTAAGATTTTCCAAAAAAAAAAAGAACAATCAACACTTTTTATTATTTTATTAAAATTAAAATTAAAATAGGTATGTTTTTAATGAAATTGTATATTTCTTTTATTGTTTTTAATGAAAGTGTATATTTATACATCATTAGTATTTTTAATGAAAGAGTATATTTCTTATATAAAGCTGATAGTAAGTTGAATTGTTGAAAATATGATTACATTTGCAAAATTTGCATGCAACCTGTAAAAAATAAAAAAAAAACTTCAAAATTATTCGTGTAGCAATTTTGTGATGAACTCTTCCTGATGAACAAAGTGATTACTCTTCCTGATGAACTTAGTGATTACTCTTCCTGATGAACTTAGTGATTACTCTTCCTGATAAAGTTTTGAGTAGAGAAATTTCATTTAATGACTATTTAAAGCCCTTTATAGTTTATATCATAAGGATGCATTGTAATCTGATTTATTTCCTGACAAATTTGAAAGAAAATTTAAATCTCTTTAGAAATATGAATCAACTGGGGCAGATGGAATAAATAGTAATAGAATAATAAATTGTTATAAAAGTATAAAGGATATTTTAGTCAAAGTTTTAAATCATCTTTAGATCAAGGAGATTTTCCAGACCAATTGAAATAGCCTAAGTTATTCCAATATACAAAAATGGAGAAAAAACAAATGTTAGTAACAATTGTTCTATTTTAATCACTCTGATATTCTCAAAAATTTTAGAAAAAGCAGTTTATAATAGAACATATAAATATCTTGATAACAATAAACTGTTATACAATAATCGATTTGGTTTTAAAAAGAATGGTTTAACGAAACATGCAATTATTTGAATAAAAAATCTCCTGCTACTCTTCTATAAAAATTAGCTAACTATAGGTGTTTTTGTTTCTGAAGCTTTCAATACAGTAAATTACCTAACAAAGCGAAAGCAATGCATTCTGTGCAATGATGGATGCTTTAATGGAATGACTGAAATAATATGTGGTGTTACTTAGGGTTTTATTTTAAAACCCCTTTTATTTTTTATCTATATAAATGACCTTAACGAGGCACCAGAACTAAATATTGAATCTGAAAATTATACAAATTTATTATTTTATTTATTTACAAATGATACAAATGCTAACATCGATGAACTATTTTCTAATGTTAATAAAAATCTTAAACATATATCAAATCAGTTTAAATGCAAAAATTAACCATGAACGTTAAGAAATCAAAGTATATTCTGTTTCACTCCTTATCAAAAAAATCCCTAATACCAAAATTTTTACCTAAATTATTAAAAGACAAAGTTGAAATAAAAAAGCATTGTCAGCAAAGTTTTTAGGAGTCTGTTTAGATGAAAATGCTAAATGGAAATCACATATTAACTACATCATCTTTAAAATCAATAAAAGTATTTGAATGTTATTTAAAACCAGAAATTATTTAAACAAAAAAAAACCTTATGCAAATTTACTACTCACTTATACATATTTATATTAACTATGCAAATATTGCTTGCAGAAGTACAAGCAAAAGCGAGTTGTGACTTTTTTATTATTGGCAAAAACACGCCATTTCACTTGTTTTGTGCATACAAAAATGTTATCTAAAGACATGAAAGTTCTTAACATAAATGAACTAAATGTTTATAAAGTTCTTTGTTTTATATTTCAATGTCAGAATGATTAAGAATTACTCATTTTCAAAAAATAATATGCCTTGGAAAATAAATTTTTTTGAAATGTACCAATTTTTGAATAAAATTTAGTCAGTTTTGTACTGCAAACCATAGACTTTTTTTGTGGAATAAAATAGTTTTGTCTAATTTTGTCAATATCATTTAACGTTTTTAAATAAAAACTAAAAAAAATTCATTCCTTTATTGGACAACATATTTATATACTTTTTGTAGTATATATTACTACTTTAGGAATTGTAATAAGTATTTAAGTTATTTTGTACCATTCTTTATATCTTGATGGCTAGTCTTTATTTCTTTTAACTGTGCTAAATGATTATGTTGATAAAAACTAACAAGATTATTTAAAAAGAAATATATATTTAAAAATAATGATTATAACATTAAAGTTATAAAAAAAAATTGAAAAAAAGAAAACAGAAAGATTAAATGCATATGTCTGGATTTATGGGTATCTGCAAATATATTTATGTATGCTACTTTTGTAGGTGAACCATTAATTGGCAGTAGTTACTCATTTTTGGTCAGCAAGAGCGTATACACACCAACGTTTAGTAAACTAGCATCATAAACAGCAACAAAATCATATGTTCTAGCTATCTTCAGCATCTTTTGCACAACCTGTTAGATAATCTTGATGCGTATTTGGAATTACACCAGTACAAATATATTTTTATTACTTTCAATGAATAAGATTTTTATAATCATATGCGACAAATAAGATTTACAATTCTATTCAACAAATGAGATTGGGTGAAGACAAAAAATTTATCTTGAAAATTATTTTATATTATTTTTCAAACAATTTTCATATTAGACGTAATATGAATTAGAAATTTATAGAGCTTTTTATACATATTTCAACAGTTACTACTAATATTACTATATATATATATATATATATATATATATATATATATATATATATATATATATATATATATATATATATATATATATATATATATATACACATATATATATATATATATATATATATATATATATATATATATATATATATATATATATATATATACATATATATATATATATATATATATATATATATATATATATATATATATATATATATATATATATAATTTAATTTATGCAATAAAAATGGTGCAAACTCAAAATTGTGTAATTGTTTGCTTACAAATCATTATATCTGAAAATTCACACACATTTTATCAACATTGAGAACTCAAAACATATTTAAACATTCTACTAATTGAACTACACTTTTCTGATAATGCGCTAATTTAATATTATAATAGTCAAATTACATCATTTTCTAGGCTTTTATATTTTAAAGTAGTTTCTAGGCTTTTCTATACGCGGTTTTATATTCCACGAGGTCTTTCGAGCAAGATCTGCAAGCAAATTTGAGTTGTTGATTAGAGTTGATATATTTTAATTATTATTCGCGAAGAATTAATGTTGTTTATCTATTTAGCAATGTTTTATTTGTTCTTGATTATTTTTTTTTTTTTTTAATTTTTTTTTAAGTAGAAGTTTTTAAAAAATAAAAAATGACTGATAAAGTAGTTTTTTTAGTACATTTTATTTTTATAACAGTGATTGTTTTTAGAACAACTATTGTTTTACTTTTCAGAACAATTCGAAGCAATAGAAGACCTATTTAGTAAGTTTAATTCATTTTATTATTAATATTTTTTTTTTTGGAGAAGGATTAATGAGAACAAAATTTTTTAGACAGGCAAGCTGACAGCGAAATAAGTATGTTTTATTATTTATTAACTAAATTATCAGATTAGTTTCAAGTAGGAATACCATTTTCTCTAATAGCTATTGTTTTAATTTATTGTTTAACAATTACGTTATTAAATTAACAAATACGTTTTTATTAAAGATTATTTTTGTTTTGATTTTATTGCTTAATTTTTATTTTTTAGACAGACAGATAGATCTCAGTAAGTTTGTTATTTTTGTAGATTTGGGAGCAGTAAGCTTCTTTTTTAGCTTAGCTTTTTTCATTGAAATAGCATTATATCATTGAATATGTTTTATATTAGGCAAATATACACTTTTTTTATTTAGGTATTGTTTCAGCAACTTTTACAAATGGTGATATCTTTTATTTTATTAAACAAGAAGAGAGATTTATTTGAACATTTATTATTTATTTGAATATTACTTATTATTTATTGTTTATTTGAACATTACCATATATTGTTTATTTGAACATTACCAAAATAGCTTTTTTTATTTAATTTTTTTTTATTTAGTTATTTCTTCTGTAGCATCAACCTCCCCAGGTTAATTTATACATTTAATTTTCAACAAATGTTTACTATCATCATGGTTAAATAAATTATCTTTATTGATTCATTCATTTCATTTAGTTGTGTCATCTGCAGCATCGACCGTCCCAAGTAACAATACATTTATTTTGATTTTTTTCTTGAAAAACTAGCAATAAACATTCTTTATTGGAACATTATCTTCAGGATTTAACAAAATATATATTTTTTAAATATTTATATATTTTTCATTTAGTTGTTTTAACT